AATGCAATGATAATTGTCACAAGGTTTCAAAATAGGCAACAAATGATAACATAACAACTGCTCTTTATACGTCTTTTTTTGAAATATCAGCACAACTGGGAAGTTATCAGTAGTTACCCCTCTCCACGCGCTTGCCTCAAGAATAGCGTAAACGACATTTTCCCCGAACGAAAAATTGATCGTTTGCTGAGTAGGCTTATTACTTTCATTTGGTAAGATAAAAAGTAGGGGTTACCACGCGTTTTTAGAAGTTAAATTGGTTGGTTTCGACCTTAACTTAATCGCTTTGGGGGTTATTTACAATTTTCCCCATCCCCTCCCCAGTCAGTTTCACTATTGCTTCACTCAACGCGGAGTACTCTGGGATATCCACAATGGCTGACAGTCAGAGAAAACAACAACACACGGAGGAGAGCCAAAACAGAAAGTGAAACAGGACATTTCATGGACTCTAAGGAAAACAAATCATACTATTTCATTCAACTGGAGCTTCTCCGTCTCAAAAATTTAACAAAAAGTTTTGGAGTAGAGCAATCTCCGAGGTATTAAAGATTACTTCCAGCGCACATAGAGTAGTATGGTGAGCTAAAGATCCACGGCTAGTGCTGTAAACAAACTACTGTACTGCAGTGGAAAATAGTCGACAGGGACTCTAAGACAGGTACTCCTTCAATTGTTTGCTTACTTGTACATGTCCTTGAGATTTTTTGAAGTGTAGATGTAATATGGATTGTAAACCTTCTATCGTTTTTTTATCATTTTACCGGGTATCTTGATCGAATATGTTATTAAACTTGCATACATTCAACGAGCTTATATCTGTGCTTTGCGCTATCTCTTTCGGGCTTTGCCACAAGTGTCATATGACATAAATGATTTGCGTTGACTCAAGTTCCGTACATGAGCTCTCTTTTAAAAAAGCAAGTAGTTGTACCGAATGCGTTTATGTACCCTCATATATGCACTGAGCTATAATGATCATTTTATATATTTCGTTTTGATTTTTTTGCTGTAGCATTCTTTGTCATGATCATTCACTATTTTTCGTCTCTAAATGTTAATTTTAGACTCAACAGTGTCTGTTAAACCTAAGAAAGTCTTTAGTTTGTAAACAGCCAAATGGCAGCTTATGTCTAAATGTCCAGATTATATGTGGCGTGAAACTGAACCGTACTATCTACACGACAAGCTGCCAATGAGTCAATAATTTCAATGCTTAGTAATGCCAAAATGCTTAAATAACAATCATAATAGTAAGAAGGATAACAATTTTTTTATCATTTTTTCCACGATGAAAGCGTTTTCTTTGCGGTCCGCAACTATTTGTGAAGCTGCGATCTCAGCAATCCAAACAAAGTTGTGATAGTTTTTTTCTTGTTTGTTCAACAAATAAAAGCCTCGGACTCTCAATAAAAGGGACATCTGTATGTACTCGAACGCTTTAAATCTATTTTCTGGTTAATAATTGCATAAAATCTTACAAAATTAAAGAAATATTCGGGAAAGTGTTTCTAGCCGATTGGCCGATAAAACAAGAAGGACGCGGGTGAAAGTTAAGCTTGCAGTTTCTCGATTAAGCGGAGGACTTAGAGCTATTTAGTCTCGCTTGCTTTAGAAAAGCGAGACTCTTAAAATGCGCTCGTTTTTTTTTTTTGTCGGACCTAGTTTGTAGGCCCCTCGTTCCTAGCGAAGACCGTGGAAACTGGGGATAAGAATCGTGACGACTTTCATTGTATGGAAATGAGTCTCGTGATGAGAATGCAGTTTATTTCGGCGGTGACTGAAATGACGCATGTAAGTTTGGCAATGACGTAATCTTCCTCGAATGGAGGCCCTTGATTTTCGTGTAATTATGCACGACATGCAGGCACATCCCCAAGCAGGATGAGAAAATATTATAGCGGGGAAATCCTCAGGATTTTGTGGCTTTTTAAGGCG